TCCCAATCCGAAGTCGCTCCTATACATACGACTCTTAACACCCTTTTTAGCGTTCTATGGAATCGCTCAACGGGATTACTCTGCGGATGATACACAGAGCTTCTTACATGTTTAATGCCGAAACGCTCCAAAAATTCCTCTGTCAAAGCACTGACGAAAGAGGTCCCCTGATCTGTTTGGATCACTTTTGGGAAACCCATACGACTGAAAATCTGTAAGAAAGCATCAATCACAGATGGCGAAGAAATGTCTGTCACCGCAACAGCATCTGGATATTTGGACGACATACACAGAGCTGTAATAATATATTTTTTTCCAGTCTTTGAAATAGGTAGCGGACCAACAGCATCGACATTTATTTTAGTGAATATTTCGGAAATTACTGGTACTAATGTCATTGGAGCCTTCTTTTTGTCATTTCCTTTTCCAGCGCGCTGACAAGCATCACAGGTTCTTACAAAATCTTCAGTTTCTTTGTAACACCTCGTCCAATAAAAATATCTAGCAAGTCTGTCTTTGGTCTTTTTGACACCCAAATGACCAGAAGTTCCTTCGTGGCACATCTTTATAATTGACGGCTTGAGTTTTTCAGGTATAACGACAAGCTGTCTTTCAAAGCCCATTTTATCCGTCGTTTTTTTTAACTAAAAGCTCTTTTCTTGTCAGACTATAGTTCTCATTTTTGCATGTACCTTCTTTAACTTCTTGGATGATTTTAGACAGTTCCTTATCAGCAAGCTGAAGTTGTGCAATTTCTTCTGAGTCAATTTTTACCAGTTTCATGAGAGCTTCATCTTCCGTATTTAGTTCCGGTAAATTATCTTCTTCTTCAAAAACATCTCTGGATGCTTTATTTTCTTCCTTCATCGGTTCCAAGATCTTCTCTTCAGCTATTTCTCTTTTTCTTTTGAGCTCTAGTAGAGACAGCATTAACCTGGTGAGGACAACTATCAGGTTCCTTTCCTTGTTTATTCAACAGTGCAAAAGTTCGATTGCCTAATAAATACCTTCCTTTGTCGAGTTCATTTCTAATAATGGCAGCCTTAGTTATTACTCGCCCAAGATCGCAATTTAGTTCGATCTCAGCCAATGGTAAACAGGTTGGATTCAAATCTAATGGCTGTTGCACCCACACATTTTCACCTGTCAGCATTTCCGGCGTGATGTATTTGCGACAAAACTATATCAATACTAGCACCTGAATCCCTTAATATAGGAATTTTATGACCATTTACGTAACCCATACTAGTATAAGGTAATAGAAATTTATCCTCTGGTTTTGCACTAATTCTGTTAAGATTAGCAGGAGATTCAGTACTATTCTTAAGTTTTGGACATTGGGGTCTTAAATGTTGATAGGACCCACACTGATAGCATTGTGGCGTTTTTCGTTTTTCATATTTATCATCTGGACGTGGACTTCTAGGTCTATGAAACCAGCTTTGCGAATTAAATCCTGATGACAATTTTTTTTTCAGTTTTATTTTTATTATCTGAACTCAATTTACCTTGAGTTAGTGCATTGTATCTTTCTTTCTGCCGATCCACTACAGGCCTTTTTTGAAAGTTTCCGCAAACGTTTTCATAGGCATCAAGTTTTTCAGCTAATTTTTTAGATGAAATCATCTCTACCCACTCATCAAGAAAATGATCTCGAATTTCAGGAGGAACTCGACGTTTAAGTTGGTCAAGCACCATCAAATCTAGCAACTGATCAAAAGTCTTAACTCCTAGACCAGTCACCCATTCTTTGCAATAATTTTCTATTTCATAATTGAAATCCACCCATGTGGATTCGGTACTCTTTTGATGTTTCATAAATTTCTGCCTAAACTTTTCCGGGCTTAGTTTAAACCGTCTTAACAATAAATTTTTCACGTGTTCATAGTCTTTAGCTTTATCGGAGGGTTCTCTAGCTATTAACTGGGTTACTTCGTAAGGAAGTAGTCCTAGTAAATGAGATACAAATTCTTCTTTATCAATTTTAGCCCATTCTGCTTGCCTTTCAAACAATAGCAAATATAGACTGATATCTCCTTTCTTGTCATCGAATTTCTGCATAAGGTGACGCAGCTCCGTTTTCGGCCGGATCTGTCCGGTATTTTGAGACTTTGTCTCTGCTTCAAGTCTTAATCTCTCTAATTCATACTGTCCGTTCCTTCTCCGCTCTTCTGCTTCTTCCTGTCTCCTACGTTCTTCTATTTCCATTTCCTCCCTCTCTTTCCGTTCTTCTCTTTCCCTTTCCTCCCTCTCTTTCCGTTCTTCTATTATTGTGTCTAAGACTCCTTTGACGAAGACTTCATTGTAATCTCTACTTTCAACAATTTTCTGTTTTAAATCGACTATTTTCAAATCTGCAGTCACATGAACTCCCAGTTCAGCCGCGAGATTTTGCAAATCTTCCTTACGAGCTCTTCCTAAGTAAGACATTGTTTCTATGTTTAAAATTAACGAACACTGTGTTCTTTATATTTCCTCAAAATAGCTCAATTCAATTACTTTAATTAATTAATTACTTTAATTAATTTAATTAATCAATCATTAATTTAATTAATTAATCAGTCAGGAATCACGAAATTAAATGGACTTTGTTAAATACGTATACCTCAAAAATGAAATATTTAAATTATATGAAGTTCATTCTCTCTACCACATTAATTGTGATTAAAATAAGAATAATAACATAGAGCAATATATATATATCTACCGTCTGGACAACTAAAATGAATATTAAATATAATATCAAATACGGTAATAAAATAAGACAATTTATTATTATCAGGAAGTAATAATCTGGTATCGCTAATATTGCGTTCAGTGATGAACTAATAAAATAAAGCAATTCTATATGAACAGGAAGTAATAATCTGGTATCACTAATATTATGTTCAGTGATGAACTAATAAAATAAAAATACGCACGATTATTCGATCTCGATCGGTGCCTCCAAAATAATTAAGACTGTAATACTTCTTTGGCAATATGAAGCAACTTCAATGATGGAACACAGAAAAAAAACCTTATTTAACACTCAAATGGCGACATACAAACAAGAAGAGAAAACATATTCTAACATTTAAAAATAAATTGCATTCTTCGTGCGAGATTCGCACGTGGCACTCGAGTCTGGTTTCAAATATTGCCATTCACAAATACCTTAATGTTCATCTATTTAAATTATTTAAACTACAAGATTTTAATACTATTTAAAGCTGTTACAGCCCACCTCTCGCCCTGAAGCAAGCTGTTATCCGGCTGGCATTAACTCGTACTAGAGTTATAAGATATTTCTCCCGCCTTCGTAGTATGCCTTCGTAGTGTAGAGGTCAGCACGCTCGGGGCATATTCTAGAGGTCCGTGGTTCGAGTCCTGGTGAAGACGTTGCTCATTTTCCATCTCTCTTGCTTTCAAAAATCCTGATTTCTCTATAGAGTTGGCGGATGTCCTTCTGCAAAATTGCTTACCATACACGTTCCAACTGGCGAGTTAGATCGACGCGATGCAAGGACGGTTGGAGACGCTTGCTCATCAGAGCCAAATATGCTGTATTGGGGAGGGCTCTGGAGATCACCTCAACCAGAGAAGTGTTAAAGAAGTCCGAAGACAAGCGGTAGAAAGCCGTGTTGTTTGCGTGGCCAGCCATTATCATGTTGAAATGTTAGCCGATGGGTCCATGAAAGGAAGAGCCACACTAAGGGCGTAGAGTCTCTTTTTATGTACCGCCGTGCTATAAAAGTGTCTCTGATGACAACCAAACAAATCCGGCTATCAAATAAAATCGCACCTCATGCCATTATTCCTTGTTTATGGAGGTATGTTGCGGACGGCAGTCAGTTGAGTATCTCACCACTGTCCTGGAAGACATGTCCTCGCTTATAATTGGGGCCCATTTAGAGCGGGACATATCGCTAAGTATAATTCTTCTCCAGTCTGTATGATCTGAGATCGAATTCACCCGGCATCACTACAAACGTCCCTGGTGATGTGCAACGGTAAGGGGCAGTCAATGCAGTGGCCTCAGCCGCCGTTCGCTGAATGGCCTGCCAGTGGTCATTGCAGTCACTGGTGTCCCAGTTACACGTCGGATCGTTAATGAAGACGCAGTAGGGGCAAGGAGCGCCGAACGGATGATCACTCTGTCCTCGCATTCTGTCGCTGTTCTCAGTAGACCGCTACTTTCTTGACTCTGTGCCCCGCTATGATTCATCCATTCCTCCCAACGAAAATTGTTAACATGTTGAATTTTACTTTATCAAGGTTTCCGTTTAACTTAATTCACGACAAAATACTTGCTATTTTACTTTCCCTTCCAGGGGGATGTTGGAATTTAAGCTTGTACGCTTGCCGTTTCAAGGTTTTTCTAATCATTATCGGCGTTTAATATTTTGCATTTTCCCACTTCGTTAACGCCGCATGATGAGTAGTATTTCAACTTGTTTCCCCGAGAAATAAACTGTAAATTGCTTCACCGCATGCACACAAGCTAGGACCACACACGTGCCAAAATTTTAATGTTAATTCTTGTTTTAAAATTGTTAAGTTTGTTTGGATGTTAACAATACCCCATTTAATGATACTAAGAGAAATGATGTTTACTCCTTTTCCATGTATTGTAATTTTTCATCATATTTAGTTTTATTTCCTTAAAATTTTTAAATCAGTTTATCAATTCATATTTTCAAGCTATATTTCTGTGCTTTAATTTAACATTATATTACTGAAAGAAAGTTCTGTGCAAGTTAAAAAAAAAAGATTCCTACGCAAATTGATTAAACTATGGAACTGCGTATGAGAACGCAGTCTTCGATGTAAATTTTAAATTGAACGTACATTTTTAAAGAAACTTTTAATATAACAATATATGAGATAGTGTTTGTCTGCTGTTACGTTTTATTTAGAAGATTAATGTATTTAGTTATTATGTTTTGTGCTGGAAGTTGTTAATTTTGAGAGACTGTTGATCTTTTTCATCATTTCATGAAGTGAATTTTATTCCGCAGAGTTGTCTATAAACTGGACTACCGAGGAGGAGATTTTGTTACCTGTGCGAAATTAATGAATCCAGAACTTCGATTCAGGATCATTCCCGAGTGGTTCATGTAATATCACTGCTGTTCTTGTTTACCGCTTAATTCAAGAAGTTTGCATTGTATTCATTGTGTAAATGCCTGTTTTATATAATTTTAAATATGCGCTTAATATTAATACATCACTATGTAAAATTCGTGTCTGAAAACTGTACTAATGAAGTGAAACATAGATATTTCTGTCCAGAATTTTGAGGTTAAGTATAATGAAATAATGAAACACAATCAGTCTATTCTATACAGCACAATTTCTTTATGCTACTATAATTTGATATACTCACTCAACAGTAATATTTTTGTAAACTTATGTAATGCAGATGGTTTTTCAATAATTTCTGTACGTCATTTTTATTCATTTAATAATTAAGAATATTTCTAAAAATGTAATTTGAGATGGAACTTTTGATGTAAAACTAATATATGCATACATCAACTTAATTCGCTTCTAGTAATACAAATAAAAATGTTGCTTTGTGAGGAATTTGTTTCACTTTCTATACATCCATTTGCCCTATATGTATGATGCATGGAACATTTTACATTTATTCTTTTTATAATATCATAGCAAGTAATGCTAATAAAAAATTTTAGTAATCTTTTTCTGTATGATTTTCTTTGTTTCCACATATCTGTTATAATTTTCATCCGCATGTTGGTTGCAGTGTGAAGACTCATCCGCTGCAGTGTTTCATTCATTAGTAATGTTTTTAAATACTTCAGAATAATATAAACTTAGCATTAAAATGATGGAAAGGGATTCATTTTTCTTGCTGTCTCACACACGTTCAAACAACACAAAAAAATTCGTGAATTAATTAAAAAAATAATAATTAATTTAAAATTAATTTTAAGGATTGTGAATGTATTTCGCTTCATTCCAGTACCGAATCTGATTCAAAAACTCCTTTATGTTTACTTTAGTCAAAAATATGAATTGCATATGCATACTGCGCAAAAGAAAAAAAATGGAACAGTTCTTCCGTTTTACTGGGCCGATTGACAAAATTCAAATTGCGTTTTTCATGTCTCAAAAGCGCGAATTAGGATATATGTATATTAGATTTATGTATAGTATATATAGCATTGTTCTAACATAGGTATTTTGACACCAAATCGGACTTTTTCTGAAATAACATGCCATTTTTTTTTTTTTTCCATATTTCAATTCTACGACTCAAATTATGCCTAGGTATTAAATTTTGTAAAATTTGGTGCGTAATTTACGAAGAAATTCCAAAATTTGTCTTAGCGCAATATTTTTAGTTTGCACCACGCATAATTCACTTGGCGAAATTCTTAATTTCCCTTCCATTAGCAACCAATTTTCCTTTCCTTTCCATTATGCCGGAGAGAAAAAAAAAGGCACTTCGTTCCTACATTTTTACATTGTGCATGAACGAAAAAAAAGTCACGTTGTTTCTACTTCCAAATAATTTTAGCAAAGTGTCTAAACCATATGTGATGTTCTGTCGCTTTCGACAAATATGCCAAATTTCAAAACGCGAAAATATATAAATTCATGTATATCTTCTGAAATTTTGAATAAAAGTCTGTAATTTTTTGCAGGTATGCTTAGAAATACGTCTACTTTAAGATGATGGTAAAATTTTTATAGATTATAATTCAAAGTGTTTTGAAAAATTTATAAAAATTATTTAAAAATACAAATTTTAAAATAAATCCTGAAAAATGGGTGAATTTTATTTGGAATGAAACTGAATTTCGAAATGTAAAAGGAAGAATCAAATAAGTTTAATACAAAAAGAGAGATTAATAAATATATACTAAACTCAATTAACATTGAGGAGATAACATTTTGAGAGCTAATTTTTAAAAACTGCTCGTGCGATTTTTACAAAATTTGGTAGATTGACGTAATTTGAGTTGTAGAATGGAAATATGGTTAGGTTAGGTTATTTAATTACGGCAAAGCCTCGAGGGCTATCTGCCTAAAGGGAGGGATGCCTTCGTGGAGGACTTTCTAAGGGAAGCTGGCTCGTATAGACGTTACACATGGGGAAAACACCTATGCAGCCAAGCCCGTTCGCGGGATTCGAACCTCGGACCGAACTACCAGTGTTCAGCGACTTTACCGCTCGGCCGCTGGTGGGCAGAATGGAAATAAGGAAAAAAAAATGGTATTTTATTTCAGAAAAAGTTCGCTTTTTGTGTCATAATACCTATATTTGAACAATGCTACATATAAATCTAATACATATCCTAATTTGCGCTTTCAAGACATGAAAAACGCAAGTTGAATTTGGTCAATCGGCCCAGTAGAAGGGGAGATATAGAACTGTTTTTTCAGGGGGGAGGCGCAGTGTACATTTGCTATGCTGTTAAAGTTGTACGATAAATCGTTATTGGATTTCATAAGAACGAAGATCACGAAAGCAAGGATAAAAACTGCAAAAATTGACTCAAATTAAGCGTAAGTAGGCTAGTAACTTTACATGGAGAAAAATAGTAAAATCAGCTGAGCGAATGCAGGTAAAATAATGAATTAACGCAAAATTTTCGCGTAGTATTTATTATTCACAATAAAAATTTCACAAAACTCTTGCAGCGTTTCTCTATAAACTGTATATCATGATGATTTCTTTTACACATTTTGATAGCACCGGTGCCCCCATTTGTTGAGAAACATTGAATTACGATTTCTGCACCATAATTTTAACCTATTTATTTACTTCTTATAGGATAATGTAAAATATTGAAAATGGATGTAAATGAAAAAGCTAAGATGCAAATTCATGGCTTTGGCTAGATACTAACGATTTATAAACACGCAGTCAGTCGTTGTATAAGATAACATACCTTCTGTTTTCCTTTATGTCGTGTAAACGAAAAATTTTCATGTAAAAAGCACGTTTTTCTTTAAGGTTAGAAAAACGAACTTTCAGTATCAAGACTTTTTATCATTACTGACAAACATCGGAAGACGATTTAATGCTACTTCGCAGACGACATTTTCTCATTATTCGGTAAGTACAGCAAAAATTGAAGAGTAATTTAAGGTTAGAAGTTCTGGCTTATTAAATTATTTTGCAGTGTTTTTTTAAGTTCTAATGCAAGGTAATATTAAAGGTGTTTAAACATGAAAAGTAATAGTTTATTGTATTAGAAATATAAGAAAATGGAAAGCTCGAAATTTGTGAAATAATTTGACATTTGCGGATAATTCTTTGCATTCGCGAAGTGTCAGAAAATCACTTAAAACTCAACCAGAACAAAATTACTACCCTAAAAATAAGTTATCTGAGAAAAAAAAAGCTTTAAAAATATTAGTGTTTTAAACATTAGTATAATCTTCCTAATTTGCAACAGATTACAGATTAAGTTCAGAAATTTTTGGTGGGTGTAATGTAATTTACACTAATTGACAAAATGATAGTCGTATTAGTTAAACATAAATTTTATTTTGAGTTTACGGAGATAGATAATTTGAATACAGTCTTTTAGTTACAAATTTATCATCCATGTACTAGCTGGTAAAACTTCAGAATTCTAATTTTAAACAATTTCTTATGTTGCTGAGCAGCGGTTACATCATGCAAATATGGCGTTGCCACTTCAATAATAAATATAGTTATTTGTTAAATAACAAGATATTACAACCTCTTCCCCCTCCAAATAAACTTTAATTTATCTTTTATAAATTAAAGTTTACAATTTTTTTTAAAAACAACAGAATATCAACACAATACGTAATTTAAATACTACATATAATATAATAATATGCAGTAAGGAAAAGAGGAAAAAAAATATTTTTTGTCTATATAGAGAAATAAATTATTTAATCAAGTTACGCCTTAATGCGTCTACATTTTGTGGTTTTTACCACTTCGATAAACGACCATGTAATTGTAGGGTAGTAGTACTAATGCCCATCTCATAAGTCGTGGATTTAGACTCACATTATTTTTGAGCCAAACTAGGGGATTATGATCGGTCATGATGAGGAATTTAGTATGCCTGTCTAAATAACACTGAAGTTTCTTCACAGCAAATATTATGGCGGCGCATTCCTTTTCTGTGGTAGAGTACTTTTTTTCAGTTTCTGCAAACTTCTTACTGAGGTATAATGCTGGATGTTCATTGTCTCGTTAATCTTTTTGAGCTAAAATGACACCCATACCAGAGTTTGAAGCATCAGTTTGCAAAATAAACTCCTTATTGAAATCAGCATGTAGTATAGGCCTTTGAAACAGTTTCTCCTTTAGCTTTTCAAATACCTTTGTGCACTCTTCTGTCCAATTTATTTTCCCTTTCTTTAAGTTTCCTTTCAAGGTTTCGGTTAAAGGTGCTGCTAATAGATGAGAACGTGGGAATGTAATGATTATACTCGTAATATCCCGCTAATCCTAAATGCTCTGACTTGACTTTTTGTGGATGGCACTGGAAAATCAAGAATAGCTTTTACTTTCACTTCACTTTGGCATTCTTATACCACGACCTACGATAGCTTTTCTCCTTGTAATTTTTTAACTTTATGCCAGCTTAACACAAGAACTGACAAATCACAGCGTACTCAACTTCTCGCTTACGCAGTTGGGAGACAAATGACGACGTTAGGCATGTCTACACTGACTTACACACTACACCAACAATGTTGTGAATTGTCCTCTAAAGAATTACATTGCATAACTTCATGTACTACCACACACATGCAATTACAAAAATGCAACCATAATATTTGACACGGCATTGTGTCAAGAGATTGCCGAAATCTCTCGCCACACTTTATTATTTAAACCGAAAATCATCATAGCTACAAATGGAATCATATTGTATAACTTTTTTAGGAGGGAATTCAATGATCTCGTCTACCATTTCTCCATCTTCAGTTATTAAAAAATTATGCATGAAGTATGATGCAATAAATAATGCAGCAATCATACAGGCAAGTGAACATACAAAATTCATTAATTTGGATTAAGACTGACAAAACAAGCACATCACAGCGAAAGCCGACGTTTCTTGCTGCAACTTTGCATATTCGTTACTTGATTTTGCTACAAATAACAGAAACTAGAAATGTTTACAATAAAACAACATATAATTTTAAGTTTGATTTCAATATTACAAGATCTGGCTCGGCTAAGGATACAATATTAATGTTTCTAGGTAAACATGCTTAATTAGAAACATTATTATTAGGTGATTTCCAATAAATAGTACAAGTTTAGCAGGATAGTTTAGAAAACATGTTTTTTATTTGCTCAGCCAGCTAAGTAATATTACTCATAACAAAAATCATAAAAAAGTGTATATTTGTTCAAGAAAGCACAGAAAGAATACATTACATCTGTAATATTTAATAGGAAAATTGGGTAAAAATGTACATGAACGACAATTTTTTTTCAACTGCTCACACAAACCAATAATGTACAATTAATAAATAATTTTTTATTCAAGGTTAATTAATATTTACAAAATCAAAAATAATTCTTGCCTATACAACCAGATATTCAGCAGAAAACTACATAATTCACCAGTCTGTGTAAAAAATATATATATATACATTAAAATTAATCATTAAAGTAAACAGACTATTTATTTAAGTGGAAAAAGCATTAGAATTTTAATTTCAACTTA